CCAGTGGGTGGAGGTAAAGCTTTAATTAGAAAGCTAAAAACAAACTATTTGAGTAGCTACTCTTACTACAGAAATGACACTTGAATGCCAACACTACCTCAGCAAAGAGGCTTAAATAAAACAATCTTAAAGTTTTTCTCTTACCTCCTAATTTTCATTATTTGAAAAGTATTTTGAGGAAAATGTTTGGAATAAACAGATGAAGACTAAAGCTACTTTGGAATCAACAGCTGTGTCTCCACCTACTGGAAAAGTGAATTCAAGTGCAATATTAATTTGATCCTTCAAAATGTGGATATGCAAAAGCCATTACAGCAACATGCTAGTGTGACAAGCTGAGAACCAGTTCCCTTCTCCCCGCTACCAAAAAAAGTTTGTGCAAATTACTGACTTTTCCCAAAGTCAGTATGGATTTCATAAGGTTCCTATTGTCAAACGGTTGCCTAGTCAATATATTCCAAATAGCACATCCAAGTGATTTCTTACATAACATTTGCTGCCAATAAATGTGAAAAGTCACCTACTTGCAGTATCTTCCTGACTTCCACTGTGTTTTCATGAGAGCCGGACACTAATGTTAGGATGAGTTCTTTAGACAACTGACATGGGTTAAACACACAGAACTGCTGTTAACATGGAGCATTTTCAACATGTAGCGCTCTTTTTTAAAAACAAATGAACAACAAAACCACAAACATCTTGGAAATAATTAAACATAAGAATCTTCAATTTTTCAATCTTCAGTAATTAAACATGAGTAGAGAATCTTCAACTTTCAATGTTTTACTTTACTTATTTAACACAGGCTGTGATAATACTCATCACTTTAAAGAAACTAACCAACACAAAATAGCAAGGTAAATGCTTTGATAGGAAAAACACCTCTCTCAACCTCTTTTTCATGTCAGTTATTCTTGTAAGAATGACATCAGCCATGACTAAATAATTCAGGCCTCCTTTATTCTGTAAAAGAGAAATTTCTAAGCCACAGAATGGCATATTAACATCATGACGCCATAGCTTACCCTGAGATAAACATGACAGTTAGCAATAATGACCAAGGAACCAAATAAAACCTTAACTTAGAAGTGGCCTTAACTCCCTCCCTCACAACCAAACCTAAACCATTCTTCTGACATTTTGCTGAGCTCAGGTTAGAAAGATTTTAGTCACACCTGTACCGAGCTAGCCAAAGCCACTGACTGGCCCAGCTACCTGGCACTGCCTTCTAGCTAGCACACATACAACTGAAATCCTATGTCAAATTGAAGCTCTGAAACAGTCACTGCCTACTATTTGTCCTGTGACAAAAAAGTCACACTGATAGCTTCATGTCCATAGAAACAAACCATTACGTTCCTCCAGCAGCACCTGTGGCCTGCTTGTCTGTATTTCAGCCTGCCTCTCACCTGCAAGACTTAGCCAAGCTCACATTTTCCCCACATTATGAGTGTCTTCTGTTGTGGAGGACACTAAAACTACATTCCCACAGGCTCGCTTTTCATCCTGTGATCATATTCCAGCTCATCCTTCCACACAAATGAGCCCAGTGTTGTCTGTGCCGCTCTGGGTGCAGGAAGTTCTAAGAAGTCATTTTTCACCACTTGTACAAGGCCAAACACACTTCAGTTTGCCACGGCACTGAGTTCACACAACACAGGCTGTGTACCACTGCAGTGAGCTGTTAGGCTTCCTCTCTCGCTTCACCTCCTCTACTGGCTCTCCTTTCCTCAGGAGAAAAACACGAACATCTCATTCAAAGCCAAGTCAAAGCAACAGAAAGAACGGGCAGCAAAAAGCAAGTTTCAGGTGCAAGTGGTGTTGAGAACCCATCTGTCCATGCTACAGTATGCCTTCTGCAGCAGATCCTTTTCCTTATCTTCTAACACAATCACTACTAAGTCCATTTCTCAAACTGGGATGAGTCAATTCTTATCCGTTTTTACCTTAAACACAGAACACAGACCATATAATTTAAGCTTCTGTGACTCTGTTATTCTTTCCAATCTGGGGACAGCTTAATTCATTCCACATCTAAGTGGACACTGCAACACCTAAAATACTACCATAAACCTTACCACGATTCCAGCTGCATTTCTGTCTCTTAAAGCAAAGGAAATTCCCTCTTTCCTCCAGCACAAAGAAAGCACCATTTGTCTACAGATCAGCTTCCTGCACAGTGTATCAGAGGGCACTCACAAGAGCCTGCCGTGGTCGCATCAAGCATGGTTTTAAAGGACACAAAACTTTTTAAAAGCTGTATTCCACAAATAAACACAGTTAGAAAAATGGTATGATTCAGGGACTGAGTCACTGTATGAACAGACTCACTCTGAAGGCTCTTTTGCTGGTCATTATGGTACTGTGAAGTTTCCCTCGGACCACCGACCTCCGTTTCTATGCGGAGATGTACCCAATGCAAGGACCTAATACCAAGCTGGAGCCTGATTCTGACAGCATAAATTGAGCGTTTGAGGGCAATGCTCAATCACATCCTTAAAAGCGTGAAATACAGCCAGCCAAATTATTTGGTAGAGTATTTGGATTTCCTTTTGTACTGTGGTTACGCATCAAGTGGAAATGCCAGAATTGTCCAGATTGTCCAGATTTCTGTTTCCATATCTTGCTGAGGTTTGCATATATTCGGAAGAAGGAAAAAAAAAAAAAGACTAAACTTGTACGCTTTAAATAAGCAGCTTTCTACAAATCAGTTGATTTTTTTTTCCTCTTTTTTGAGATTCATCCTCCCTGTTAGTCCTCTATAAGACTCCTTCATGTTAGCTAGGCATATTTTCAGCACTTGCTTCATTATTTCTATTTTACCTAAAAACCCATATGTGATTACACCATGACTTATGTGCACAGCTTCCATTATTTGCTTAAGAAAAAAAAAGCAACAAGAGGTAGTTCAGGAAAGGTCCAATTGCACATATGTTGCAACAGCTTTTCAATCGTTTTGGAGGCTTTGGGTATGCGCAGTTAGCCCACTAATTTAGCAGCAGAACAGGCATCATTCTGAGCTGGTACTGTGTATTTGTCAATAATTTCTGTATTAAGCAGCTTTCACAAACGGAAACTGCAGTGATCCACAGCATCAGAAACAAACGCACACAGAATCCAGAGAAGCTGAATATACACACGTCTGGCAAGATGCTGAAGGCTCCATAAAAATTAATAATGAAGAGAGTAGTATTGTGTCTGATATAGAAATGAAAAACTAAGAATGGGAGCAGCCTTATGGTGACACCGTGCTCAGTACTGCAGATTTTTCAGAACAATATGGATCTCAAGTAATCTCTGTAGTGCAGTGCTCGAGAACAAAATAAGGAAAGCGACATCATCAATTCCAAACATTTCAAGGGAGGAAAGTGGAAATCACAGATTTCTCTGAACAGTTGTTTAAAATCACATCAGCATTAGCTCAAAGTAGATATCAATTGTCAGTGCTTTATTTAAATGAGAATCTACAGCATTTTCAAGAATTTTGTGACAAACACTGAGCAGACCAGCGGTCGTATGTCAAAGTGTTAAAAGCCAGCCACCTCAGCAGAAATAAAAAGAAACATTATGATGCTACTGTCAGGTTGAACAGACACTATCTGTTCAGCAGCAGTACGAAAGATTTGTTCAAAGCTTCCTTTAAGTCCGACATCTATTTATAGCCGCCCAGCCTCTCTACAATTTCTCACAGTCCCTCCTCCTCCCCAAGCCAAGTCGGGGAAGTTTAATGGATGCAATCCTGGGCCTTGTGCCGCAAGGAGCTCTGCAACTCTCCTCTTGTGCAATGAGACCAGGAATGATAACAAGAGAATGCTCTAGCATACGCAGGTGCCAAACACACAGGATAAACCTTATCTCCGCTCCTTAGGAACGAAGTTATTTTTTGTCTGCCAGCACGCTGACAGCAATGAACCACACGAGCATCAGAGCTGATGTAAAGGTACCTTCCCTCTGGCCACACAGCCACAGCCAACCGCCCTGTGAGCCAACCACAGCTGTCCAAGCGCGCTCTGACCCTCGTGCAGCAGCAATGTCACCCCTGTACCTCCCCACTCCTGTTTCAGTGTCATAACCATACGCTGCACTTTCCTCCAAGAGACCGGGAGGCCGTTGGGTCTTCTCCTGTCGTGCAGCTTGCGCGTTAGGCTGGATTTCCACCACCCAACCACGCACGTCTCCATGGAGCGCTGCTCCGGATGGGCTCTCCTCCATCAACCGGCATCTCCCCGACAGCTGTACCACCGCCGAGAGGTGCACGCACCTCCCCGCTGAACTCCGCCACGAGCGGTACCGCCCCAGCACCGCGTCCCCTCGCCCGCAGGGCTCGCACGGAGCCCGGGGAGGCGACGGCGCTACGGGAACTCTGCCCGCCCCGCTGCCCCCGCGTTTCCCCCGTTCCCGGGCAGGGGCGGACGGAAGGGGAGGACGGGCGACTTCCTCGGAGGGACGCGGACGGGCCGGGCAGAGATCAGGAGGGGAGGAATCACCCCGAAGGGAGCGCGGATAATCCGCGGGGCACGGCGGGGCGCGGGGCGGGGGATAATCCGCCGGGAAGGGGATAATCCCCGGGAGGGAGGCGGATCCCGGGCAGGGAGGGGCGGGAGCTCCGGTAATCCACAGGAGGAGAGAAACCGCGGGCGGGGGTGGGCGGGGGTAATCCGGGCCGGGAGATGAGGCGCGGGGTTCGCGGGGACACGGCCGGGGGCGGCGGGAGGGAGCCCGAGCCCGAGCCCGAGCCCGCTCCGGGGCACGCAGCCCTCCTTCCCCGCGCCGGGCGCTGCCATGCCCTGCCATGTCCGCCGCCCCTTAGGCCCGCCCGGCGCCGCTACCTGCGGGCGGCTCCGCCCGCCCCGCGTTCGGGGCTCCCGCCGCCGGGCAGCGAGCCGCGCCGGATGGCCGCGGGACCCCGCCTCCCGCTCCATTTCCCCGCCGGCTCGCCGCTCTCCCTCTTCCTCCCCCCCCACCCCCCCGCACACGCGCCGCCCGCTATCGCAACTCACCGGCCGGCACCGGCTCCCGCTCCACGTCCCCTCCTCAGCGGGCGCCGCTCAGCCCCATCGACGGAGCCGTGGCCCGCGGGCCGGCGGTTGGCGGAGGCGCGGCGCGAGCCGGAGCTGCCGCCGCCGCTTCCCCCGCTGCTTCCCCCGCGGCTCCGGCCCCGCCGCTCTGCGCCCGCCTCGGCGCGCGCCGCCGGCCTGCCAGCAGCACGCGCTCGCGCTCCTCCTCCCCCGCCCCCTGCCGCCTCCGCGGCGCGCGCGCGCGCGAGCGCCTCCTCTTCGCTCCGAACCCCCCCCGCCCGCCAGAGCGAACGGCTGAGCGCGTGAGGGGGCGCGCGCCGCTGCCGTCCAACCGCCCCGGGCAGCGGCCCCGCCCCTGCGGGTGTGCGGGAGTGGGGCGGGGGAGCGGGTGTGCGGGTGTGAGAGAGAGTGCGTGAGTGCGGGAGGAACTGCGCGTCTGTCCGTGTGTGTGTGAGAATGTGTGTGTGTGGAAGTGTGAGGGAGAGCGAGTGAGTGTGTGCACGAGGGTATAAGAGTGTGAGTGTGAGAGTGTGTGTGCAAATGTGAGTGCACACGTGCGTAAGAGACCGTGAGACTGTGGATGCGTGTGTGTGACGGGATGTGTGAGGCTGGCGTGGCAGCGTGCACGAGGACGCGTGCAGGAGTGTGAGTTTGTGTTGGGGAGAGTCAGTGTGAGCACAGATGTGTGTGTGTGTGTGTGCAAGCCTGTGTAAGAGCTGGGTTTGATGGGATCAGTGTCCCAAAGAGGGGAGCTACCAGCCACCAGCTGCATCCAGAGCATTAAGGGGCGAGCTGCAGGAAAAGCTGACTTTCCCATGGCCGTTGTCTAACATTTCATTTGTTCTGAGCTGTGATTATAGACTAGCTGTCACTTTCTGCTTCTGGTAGATTTTATGAAGACTTTCACCTTTGAATACTCTTGGACTTAATGAAATTTGAGTTGCAAATACTAAGGCACTTTTGCATGCAGAATTCTTGTGGAAGCTGAAGCATGCTCACAAGGCAGAGTTTGCCCCAGAAAAGAAAGCATTCCTATCCAAAGAAATACCTCATTCTCCAGCCCACTTCTATTCTCTTTTTCCCTTCTGTCACCAACTTTCCAAACAGGTAGACGGTAATTATGCTGTTTTAAAAGTATGTGATAGCTTGCTGTAGCATATGGTAACTCTTAATAATAGCTGTCTGCAATTCACACTGGCCTTTGCTGTGGAAGCCATGGGGGAGAAGGAAAAGCTAGAACTTCACAGGCATTCAGTGCATTTGAACAGAAAATCTGCTAGTTATTGATTTGCATTTCAGCCAGTTCAGGTTGTGCTTTCCTACCAGATAGCAGATAAGCTGATTGTTACACAACCAAAGATACCAAAAGAAGCGGCATATGACGGGTATAAATAAAGAATTGTGGAACAGCAGCCAGCAAGTGAACAACCTTTCTCAGGTTGACCAGTAAATCATAGAATGATAGAAAGGCCTGGGTTGAAAAGCACCACAATGATCATCTAGATTCAAACCCCCTGCTATGTGCGGGGTCACCAACCACCAGACCAGGCTGCCCAGAGCCACATCCAGCCCGGCCTTGAATGCCTCCAGGGACGGGGCATCCACAACCTCCTTGGGCAACCTGTTCCAGTGCGTCACCACCCTCTGGGTGAAAAACTTCCTCCTAAGATCTAACCTAAACCTCCCCTGTCTCAGTTTAAAACCATTCCCCCTTGTCCTATCACTATACACCCTTGTAAACAGCCGTTCCCCCTCCTGTTTATACGCTCCCTTCAAGTACTGGAAGGCCGCAATGAGATCTCCCTGGAGCCTTCTCTTCTCCAAGCTAAACAATCCCAGTTCCCTCAACCTTTTGTCATAGGAGAGGTGCTCCAGCCCCCCTGATAATCTTAGTGGCCCTCCTCTGGACCTGCTCCTAGAGCTCCATGTCCTTCCTGTACTGGCAGCCCCAGGCCTGGATGCAGTACTCCAGATGGGTGTAAAAGACTCATCGAGTAAGATCTCATCCTCATGTAATTATGAATTATTTTCATTTAGTCTTCAAAATACATTAGCTACAAAATGCCCTACACTGACAAGTCACTGTGCCGAGAGCTTCACAAGCATACGGTATTACCTATCTCTGGGTCCAGAGAGATGACAGTCCTCTTGCAGTTTCTCAAAAAAAATGTCCAAGTTGAACATATTTTTTTATAAAATTCTTCACAAGCAGTTATCTTATTTAGGTGAAGAGGAATTGAACATGACTTGAGGGCTTCTCAGTGAAGTGATGACCTACCATACTTTTGTATGGTAGTTCATATCCCAGCAGCTACAGTGGAAAAACTGACAGGAGTAGGAAATTCTCATTCCCCCAAAATAACTCCACAACTTTCTCTCTTCTCTGTTCCTTGCTTATTTTCTTGTGATATTCTAATGGAAAAACTTTTGAGCCAGAGTCACAAAACTCAGAAATGTAATCTTGTTCCGCATTCCACACCATCATGTTGACTTGTCTTTCAGTCCCTTCAATTGGGGAGGCTGTCTGTTCTCCTGATAAGTTGTGTGAATTTATGCTGGATTTATGCTGGCAACTTGAATGATGTCCTGACTTTACCTTCATGGCCTATGAAAGAAAATCACTTTACTGCAAAAGTCTAAATTTCCTTATTACAGTTCAATTCAAAGCTTGAATCCATGGCAGCTCATTTCTGGCTGTAACAGAAATATCTAAACACGAAGTACTTTGACTGCTCTGGAGCTTTTTGAATGTTTTCCATTCTGGCCTCCACAGCTGTTACTTGGCTATTAAAACCCTTCAGGGAATGTGCCCCAAATGCTTGCACACCACCTCTTGTCCAGTGCTTAATCCATTTGATCCATTAGGGTCAAGGAAGAAAAAACAAAACAAAACAAAAAACAACAGAGATGTGTTGTTTAAAAGGAGAATTTAGAACTTGACTTCATTCTCTGGTAGGAATTATATCTTTTGGGCTTTTTATAACTTACATTCACATGCCACGCATAACAGAAATCCCCTACCTAAGGCTGGCCATTAGGACCTTGGTGGCGCAGTTCATTCAGATTGCTTTACATCCTTCCTGAGGTGCAAAATGACCTAAATCCTTTTTACCCATACAACAGGCAGTTACCGTGCTGCAGCCAAGCATCACTCTGTTCCCATTTTAGGGCAGAGAGGGAGTGGCCCTGATCAAGCCTGACTTAAGCTCCAGCAAGTTCTGACTAGTGGTCACAGGCAGCCAGGCACTATAAAATAGTGCCAAAGCTGAGTTGCTTTATGTCATGGATTATCTCGGTTTCTGTCTAACCACAGTCTTGAGGGAGCATAAAGGCTCATTCAGCCCTCATGCTTCAGGGTTGAGCAGTTGGATTTCACTTGAAATGGGGTTTATGACTTTACAAAGCTTTGAAATTTGCCTTTGATGACATAGGTCTTGCTCAAGCGAGGGGCTTCTGTTAAGCCTGATGCTCTTCTCAGTAAAAATGCAGAGACTGGATTTGCTAATATTGTGATAGTTCCCTGCTGTGCTACAAGTTGCGTGGTACAGGTGTGCCTCCAGAGTCTTCTGCTTTTGCTAGGGCTTCTGCATGGGTATTGAAGGTGTAGAGGACCAGGCACTCCAGTGTACAAAATGTTGGAATGAATGTGGTATAGGTTTCAGTCCCATCACAGTTCTGGGTGTAAAACATAACAGAGAACATAAACAAATATCCTATATTTGTGATCACCACAGCATTACTGAAATAATTGTCTACTGGCAAGAGTAAACTTCTCCAGCTTTTGCTTTGTCTTAGGGACTGCACAGTTTCTGGGTCTAAATTCTGAGTGTCCTCATCACTGCTCTGATGACTATTTTAATGACAAAAGGAACAGATGTACCCACATAAGAGCTTTTTCTTTGAGTTAGTTTCTTATGCCACTGTGGGGAATTGTTGTTGAGTACTTCAAACAAAAGACTTGGAGACAGCATATTTTGTAAATGATGTTTTAAGCTGATTGCTGGTGGACTCTTCAAGTCTGGTATTCTTTGTCCTTCAGTTTACCTATGTCTAACTGGCAACATCAGCTATATCAACATTCAAACTGCTGGAATTCCAGACTATTTCTTTAGTTGATAATCCCTAAAATATATTGTCTTAATCACCACATAAATTATAGACAATACAGCATCAGCTTCTTTGCTGTGTTTATCACCATTATTACCAGTCTCATAATGATGATTTGTTTGTGCATCCAATGGCATTCAATGCAAGTGAATTTTTTTTATGAAGTTCTTTGTGTCCAGGAAACGAACTGAGGTTTTGTTTGGTTGTATTTTGGTGGCTGTTTTTTTGAGTTGATTTTTTTTTTTGGTGGTTTGTTTCTCTGTTGGTTGGTATACAGCATAATTTCATATCTGTGCAGAAAAAGTTGTTCAAAATATTCTAAAAGATTCAGCCAAGACAGCAAAATCTGTAAGCTGCACTTCATACGAAATTGCATAATTTTCCAAGCTATCCCAGAGGAACTCATTAAACGATCACATGGATGATTACAATTATTGAAGGTAGAATAAAAACTGTTTTCTTTTAGGGTGGTAAGCAAAACCACAGCAATTAGGACAATGTTGATTTACATGGAAAGGCAGTGTGAAAAAATAAAAGGAGACTATACCTTCAAAGTTAAAAGTCTATGCATCAATTCCTGTGCTATTTCCATCACTGAGGTCTGTTTGCACGTGAAATTCAGCTTCACGGGAGGAGATAATCAAGACAAATAGTATGGCTTTATTTTTAAAAGGGGTGGATAATTTCATGGCAGCTTACAACATTGGTGACTGGGCAAGCTAAGATAATAAGGCTAATCAAATCTCATGCTCCACAGCACTAATTCCCTGTGGGGTCAGGAAAAATCTTTCTGCTATATACCACACTATACAATTAGCAAGGTTATTATTGGGGAGCAGAAATACAGCCTTCTAAAGCAACAAGCTGTAATCATTACCAGAGAACAGAGACTGCACTTGGGCAGATAGAGAAAATAGCATTATTTTCTATATGCACTTCTGCTTCACTTTGCTGTCAGATCCACTGTTTTAGAATTACAGTACCTTGTTTGCTAAAAAATATATATATATATATTTTTCCCTGA